CGCGCCCGCGGGCGCGGTCAGGACTCCAGCAGCGCGTGCCAGCGGCACACCTGCTGGCCGCGGCGCTCCTTCATCTCCGCCCAGTGGCTGAGCTCCCCCTGGCCCGAGCTGTTGAGGCCCAGGGAGACCCAGCCGATGAGCTCCTTCCGCTTCATGCTGCGCCTGCTGTACACCGACAGGATGAGCGTGACGTCCGAGAGCTGGAACAGGGCCACCTGGAAGACGAAGGTCTCCTTGTACACGGGGTTGGGCTGCCCCCTGCGCACCGAGGTCTTGCACGTGGACATCTCCTGGCCCATGGAGTTGAGCAGCGTCAGCTTGACGTAGGTGTCTGCAGACAAGAGGGCGACACACAGAGACAGCGTTGGCCACGGCCCAGGCAGCGCCGGCGCCGGTTCTGCTCACGGGGGCGTGGAGTCGGCGCAATGGAGATTCAGCGAATCCCATTTTGCGCTCGAGGCGTCTAAGACCTGATGGGTACGGGGAGGGGGCGCCGGGCGGGCAGCCGCTTTGCGGGCTATACACACCAGGACCTCGAGGCGCGGCCGTCCTCCGCCCGCACCCCTCCGTGGCCCCCCGCCCCCGGCCCGCCCCGCCCGCGGGGGCTTCACTAAGCAGGACGTCATAGCATCAAGAGACACTCAGCAAGCTCGGTTAGCCACGACACTGTGAAGCATTCCACTGTGTTTTCAGAGGAGGAGGAGAGACAGACAGACAGAAATGGAGGCAAATGGCGAGGAGAAGAGGGAGACGAGGATGCAAAGATGACATCCGAACAGCTCGGGATGGAATGTCCAAACAATCTCTGCATGGATGTGGTTTTTAAATCGATTTTTTGGCAACACCGAGGGGCCAGGACAGCGCCAATTCCGGGGGGGGGGGCTCAGCGCTGCGCACGTCCGGGGCCAAGCGCCTCCTGCTCTCACGCCAGGGTCCGCCGGGCGTGTGCCCGGGGGCGGCACCGGCCGGGATGCGCCTCCTGGGCACAATTTAACGGGGAGGTTTCGGGATGGCATCTCGACGGTAGTCGTGGACCAGGATCAGTGTTTGAAGTGAATCGTGACCGTTCACTGCCTGATTATTTGGGAGGTCAGCCCTCTCTGCAAAGAATTTGCACGCTCGGGTTCTTTCGTCTCATGCAAATGGTCTTCAGCATGTGAATCCATCATGTGTACTTCGCATCAAAAGTTCAATCGATTTGAATGACCGTCGCGATCTGCGCGCGGGACATCTATTTCTGTTGTAGGAACCGAAACAGAATGAACGAGAAGAGAAAACCTTCAATTTGACAAGTTTGGCTTCTGTGCTCGGTACTCTGAACACCATCATCCATAATCAGAGATACAGTCTACGTTCGTTTTTACTGCAAGTACCACAGATAAAAGAAATGTGCGTATTTTTGGAAACCAACATGGTGGACAGCTTCAGTGCTGGCAAGTTGGAGGGGATTTTGTTTTTGCATGAAAAGACAACATCCAATTAGCCTCTACAGGACTCACCTCGGATTATATAAACCTGTCCACCTATCAAGTGTTTTAGACAACAGAACAGTCCATCTGACAACAGGGGGTGGGAAGCAGTAAAAGAAATAATGACCAGATGTCAATTGCTGGGTGAGAGAGGGTGGGAGGTTAGAATTCAAGCGGAAACTGTTCCCGGGGTGGAAGGACTCCACACCCGAGCGCTCTCAGTCGGGCAGCGGGGCCGAACGGCCGGGCGGCCGGGGGTGTCTGGGGACGGCGCGGCCCTGTGCGGGGGGACCCTCCGGGA